TTTATGTAGCCATTTATACAACAGAAACAAAGAGGGAAATTAGGGAAAACATAGATATTCCTTGATTAAAAGTAGAAAATATATTTCTGAGATTCCATGTAACATATTCTGAAGAATATCTTCCTAACATAAGATAAATATTGTATTTGGATACCTTGTGTTTTATCAATCTAGCTTTTATTATTAAAACTGATTTTATTATTATACACAATACAGTTCAAGACATTAAAAATGGTCAGTAGGGGGTCCACACATACACTAAAATAACACAATATTAATCACAAAGTAATTAGTTTTTCCCAAAACGAGTTTAAAATTATTTCACTACATCATAATGTAATTGTTCTTGCAAGGAAAAAGTGTATCATTCTTTGACTAAGAAAAACTCTACTGAAATGGTAGCATTAACATGAGAATTTCATAATCTGTACAGTATAACTTAATAACATCTGTAGTCTCTCATCATTCCCAAATACGCTGGTTAGTACATTTGTTCCCTCACTGGACTATTCTTAATGTTTAAGCTTCTCTTCCCATGACAGTGGGCTCCTCAACTAGGGGCTGCTATCTAACATTGATGACACATAGGGACAACTGTTTTCAGAAAAGAACAAAGAAAACTCTACTCTCGTTCTGATGAATCCTGGGAGGACCAGTAAGCTGCATCGGTGTTCTGACCATAGTCAAGGACTGTTCCCTACAAATCACCCACTTCTTCATGGGAATAATTTAGACCTGACTTCTATCACAACAGAATGCATAATTCCTGTTTGGTTAAGAAAATAACATGGATATTTGGAATCATCATAAAATGTTATAGAATTTGTTTTAAAAAAACATTCTGCAAATAAATCAAATTTCTCAACAATTCGGCCTTCAGACCTAGTTAATGTAGTTGAATGTGTATTTCTCAGACTATCATAAACAATTCATGCACATTCAAAGCTTTTCTGTCTTTAAAATTTCCTGCCACTAGCCCCCCATCTCTTTGTGTGCACGTCAGTACCTACTTTCTGGACAGCAAAACACTGGGCTGAAAGCAACCTGGTGCAGGTATTCATCTTCATTAAAAGAATCGAGTTGTATATGTACATGCATGACGCTCAACTTAGGGACATCTTGATAATTGTACCATTGTACCAAGCCTTTAAAGGAAAAATATGCGTCCTATACCCCAGGGGTCCATTTCAGAGCACTGGAAATGCAGGTCCTGGTGTGGGAAAGCAGCTTATCCCCATGGCAGGAGGGCAGAGTGCAGGCTCTCCATTCTTAAACAATCTTATGTCCAGTGGTGCATAAATAAGGCTGTATTTTTTTTTTAATTTTGATTATGTACTTTATTGTCAATTTGTAACAATGGTTAGGCCCTAGATTCATTAAATATTTTGATTAGTATGTTTCTTGTTTTATTTAGTAAATATAAATTTCCAAAGTACAGTTTATGGTTTATAATGGCTTCCCCCTCCCCACAATTTCTCTCCCACTCGCACCCCTCCCATCTCCTGCTCCCTCTCCCATTCCATTCACATCAAGATTCATTTTCCATTACATTTATAAACAGAAGATCGATTTAGTATATATTAAGTAAAGATTTCATCAGTTTGCACCCACACAAAAACACAAAGTGTAAAATACTGTTTGAGTACTAGTTATAACATTACTTCACATTGGACAACACATTAAGGACAGATCCCACATGAGAAGTAAGTACACAGTGACTCCTGTTGTTGACTTAACAATTTGACACTCTTGTTTATGGCATCAGTAATCTCCCTAGGCTCTAGTCATGAGTTTCCAAGGCCATGGAAGCCTTTTGAGTTCGCCGACTTTGATCTTATTTCGACAAGGCCATAGTCAAAGTGGAAGTTCTCTTCTCTCTTCAGAGAAAGGTACCTCCTTCTTTGATGGCCCCGTTCTTTCCACTGGGATCTCACTCGCAGAGATCTTCCATTTAGGTCTTCTTCTTTTTTTTTTTTTTTTTCCAGAGTGTCTTGGCTTTCCTTGATAAGGCTGCATCTTCATATGTGTGTATCCATCTCTGGGTGCTTATGTGTTACACTGCATAAATTGGAAGCAGATGAGAATGTGCAATTCAATTTTAAATTAATAAATTTAGCATTTATTACAGAGTTCTGTTTGTTGCTTTGTGATGCTCTATGAGACACAACTTGAAAACTTAAGTACAGAATGTTTCAATCACTCACATACATTCATTTATTCTTTTGTTCATAGAATTTTGCATGTATGTATTCAAATCACATCACGGAGTACTTAGTCCTCTCCAAGGCAAGCTAAGAACTATGAAAAAAAGGATCAGATACCATGAGCTCTGGTTTTTCATAAGTTCATACTCAGGTGAGGTTAATGATGGGATATTATGGCAATGTAGAAACTCATGAAAACTTTTGGCTTACTATGCAAACATATTGAATTAGAAATAATTACATGCCTAAATTTTGACAATCTAATGATGGTGGTGAGAATAGCCATATTAAAATGCAATTACTAAGTTAACTGAATATAGAATATTTATTTAATGTATATGAGTAATTCCATATGTTTATTACTTTCCACAGTAAAAATTAATTTAGAAAGTTAAATAACACCCTTAAATTCCATAATATAGGTGTAATTTAAGATATATTTCATTTCTGTAATATATAAATCATCTGCCTACCTATATCTTACACTTGATCTTAACCAAAAGGCCGAGAAGCAATGCCTACCTATATCATAATAATATGCATAAGATATTCATGTTTTGTTCCAAAACCCTAGTGAAACTATATTAAAACATATATACTATTATTTTTAAAAATTTTTATTTATTCATTTATTTGAAAAGCAGTGTTA